AACTGCTGGTTCCCCATAGTTTTTCATAATAAAATTTTTCCATGAACTTTTTGAAGACCCACTTGTATGTATTGTAATCAATTTCATCAGCATTGAGTGGTGGTGTTTGTTTTTTTTTTGAATATACAAAAAGTTAGACATGTTAAAGCCTGAATTATATTTAGGTTTGATATTTATCTATTAATTCTTTTTATTTCCCACAGTACTCTATTTGAACAATAGTAATAGCTGTCGTTCTTAGGATGGTTATAAGTTTGATGATTTTCACACTACAGATGTGTAAAGCTGGAATAGATTTCTAGGGTAAATTAATGGTCTGATATGTTCGTATAAGAGGACCAAATACATTTTAGGCTATCAACCTATTTCTTTTTCCCCCCTTATAGTTTGCTCAGAAGTTATTTTAGTTTATACTTTAACACATTTAAACATCTTTTTCAAAATGCACTAAGTTCACTATTATTTTGCTAACAGAAATACCTGGGACTGGATGATTTATAAAGAATAGAGACTTGGGCCAACAAGTGAAAGTTAAGGTATTAGATCCCATATGACTGATTGCACAGTTCCAGTCCTTGACCAGCTGCTTGAAAATCATGCTGGGTATATGCGTGCACATGCAAGTATGTGAAATCCAAAGAGGACATGGAGGAGAAGGGGTTGTGTATGGCCACCTCCTTGGGAGGTGATTCCTTACTTTCCCTCTGTTTCTGTCTGTCTCTTCCCAGCCCACATACCCTGTAACAAAAACAAACACAAATCTAACAGAAGCTTATTTGACTTATGATTGTGGTGTCTGTAAAGCTCAAAAGTATGGGGCTAGCATCACAACAGGGTTGACAGAAGCAGAGTGGACAGGCAGGCAGGTGTAGAGAGAGACCTGGATACAGCCCTCTTCCTTTAATAACTTGTTCTCGTGAGAACTAACCACTTCTCGTAAGAGCTGCATACAGGTTGTCTCTCCAAATATGAACTTCCTGTAGCCGAGACTATTCAGCATGGGTTATTTTGCTGTCTGTCAGGGTTGTAGAACATGTATCTGTAGTTAGAAAAAAGATTGGATTAGATTGGAAATTTGTGGAAATAAGTTATATTTTCAGATTGCTTGATAGTCATTTGGTAGTTGGAAAATAAGTTATTTTATATTTTCTCAGAAAATTTTCTGAGAAACATAAGATTTATTTCAAATTCTAATGATGAAACAAAAGACTTTATTTGATTGTATTCTTATAGCTATGCTGGGAGGTAGATGTGCAAACTGAAGGTGGAGTTCAATCTGACTTTCGGTTACATAGAGAGACTGAGTTCCAAATCCCAGTCCCCTTTCTAACTATATGATTAAAATGCATATCTTTTTTTTTTTTTTTTAATTTTTTCCAGTGTTGTTGCCATAGGGTGCATGTGCTCGCTGGAGAGAAACAGACAGTGAGAGATTATCCCCCAGGGGGAGTATTCACACTACAGCCCCTTTTCCATTCTCTTCCTGGGATTTTGGTCATGCGTGCACACATGCTGGTGTGATTTTCATGTCATTGGGCTTGGGATTTGAACCGTAGTTGGTCATGTGGCAGTCTAGCACTGTAATCACTATGCCGCCTCCTGGCCTTTAGAACTCATATCTTAACAGTATGCTTATTTTTTAGTGATTTAGGTTATAAGACATTTTGACATAGTGGTCTGGTAAGTCTCGTGGTAAAAGTGGCAGGACTAGAAGAAACCAAGTTTACAAGAGAGAGAAGTACCAGGGCGAAGAAAAATATTAAAAGAAGTAAAGGAGTATGTCTAGAAATAGAATGAATATGTGTATATAGTCATGTGCTGAATAAAACATTTTGGCCTATGATAGACTGCATATATGATGGTGGAGCAATAGCCTGGGTATATAGTAGGCTATACAATCTATGTTTGTGTAAGTGCTCTCTGATGTTTGCACAGTGATGAAATAACCTAACATATTTCTCAGAATGTATTCCCGTTGTCAAGTGCCACAAGATTACACACACACACACACACACACACACACACACATATATATACTTTATATGGCTCAGTATAAATGTATACTTACATACGTATATGTATATGTACCTATATACTTTCATATATATATCTATCTATATATATACACACATATATAGATACTTGTGTATATACATATATGTATACATATAATTGTATTTTTTTTTTGAGAGGTTTTTGCTATAGGGCTCATTGCTCGCCAGACAGATGGAGACAGACAGAGAGATAGAAAGCGAGAAATCACCCCCTGAGTGGGGATGACCACGCAGCAATCTTTTCTCCTCCATTCTCCTCTCGGGATCTTGGGCATGCACACACACGCGCCTGGCTTGAGTTTAAGCCACTGGGTCTGGGACTCGAACTGTGGTCGACTACATGGGAGTCCAGTGACATAGCCATTATGCTAACTGCTAGTCCCTATAATTGTGTGTTTTAATGTAGTCTATGTAAGATAATTATTCTGTAATTTATCTTTGTCTGTATACTTTTTTCCACTAACCAAGACCGTTATGTTCAAATATACTTACATTTACCCTGCAGTTATCATTCATAGATTTTAGTATTCTAACTGTAGTACAGAGAAATTTCAAAATTAGATCTCTATTTAATATAAAGTATTTTTTGTTTTAAAAATTATTGTTATTATTATTTTTAATTTTGGATTTTTTATTTATTAATTCATTTGTTTATTTCAATTTGACCAGAGAGGGGCAGAGAGAGAGAGAGAGAGAGAGCAAGCTGCCAGGTCCAGGACTTGAACCATGGTCAGCCATGTGGGAATCTAGTGCTCTTAACCACCACGCCACTTGCCGGTCCCTTAAAAATTATTTTGCATAGTCTCTTCATCTATGAAACTGTGAACTGTTAGAAAGGGATAAAACTTGGGACATTAAGGCTATCTAAAAAAATTATGTTGGATGATATGAAATAGGTTATTTTGAATTTATTTGTTATGAAGTGGCTCTATATACCATCTGCTTATGGGAGAAAAACAATGTAACAAGGTGAGAAGACTGGCTTAGGAGTCATTTTTGTATTAAACAATATTTACTGAGTACCTACCCTCTATCAGGCACTGTTTCAGATACTGGGGATACTCTAGTAAGAAAAGACCAAGTTTTGGGGCCAACAGACTCCTAAATGGCTTACCACGGTTCAAGTCAAGTCCTGGACCCAGTGGCTTGAAACTCACACTGGGTGCATGTGCATACATGTCTAAGATCCTAGGAGTAGAATGGAGAATGACAGTGTGGCCAACCCCCCCCACCCCCAGCCGGGATGATTTCTCACTTTCCATCTTACTGTCTCTGTCTTTTTCTGTTTCTCCGGTGAATGTACACGCCCTAAGTTGAAAACCTTTACAAAAACAATGAACAAACAAAAAACTAAGTTCTATAGGTGAGTATAGTTAGGCAGAACACTTGTAAAATGTCCTCCACCCTGGTTTTCTCCTCATACATGCTATCAACTGTCAGGAATGCAGATTATGAAGAAAGCAGGACAGTGGTGTGTAGAAGATATGAGGGTGTAGAGGCTCTGTTACGGTGACCAGGGAATGTCTCTTTGAGGACGTTTTTGGGCTGAGCACCAAGTGATTTAAGAGGACAGCCATACAAAGCTCTGGAGTGAGAACGTTGTTGGACTACAAGAAAATAAATGGTGAAGGTTCTTAGGCTAGAGAGAACATGGAATTTTTCTAGAATGGAAAGAAGGCAGTGTGACTGAAGCCTGGAGAGTATGATGAACGTGATATATGAGAAAGAAGCTGAATGAAGTAGGAAATCTTTTGAGGGGTTTAAGGAAGAGAATGAAGTTTTTTTTTTTTTTTTTTGAGAGCTTTTTTCTGTAGGGCGTGTGTGCTTGCCAGACAGACAGGGAGAGACAGAGAGATAGAAAGCGAGAAATCACCCCCCCCAGGGGGGATGGCCACGCCGCAATCTCTTCTCCACTCTCCTCTCAGGATCTTGGGCACGCACGCACACATGCCCGGCATGAGTTTTAAGCCACTGGGTCCGGGACGCGAACCGCGGTCAACTACATGGGAGTCCAGCGACATAGACATTACACTAACTGCTGGTCCCTGGAAGAAAATGAAGATGTTTTAAATGTAATTTTGAGGCGCTTGGTCTGACTGAGAGTGGATGATGGGGTAGGAAATAGGAGTTAGAAGCCAGATACCAGTTAAAATAAGTAGTTTAGATTAGACGTGATGGTGCCTTAGGCTAGAATGTAGCAGGAAAGTGATGATAGTTGGATTTAAGATATGTGAAGTGTGGGAGTAGTATTGCAAGACTTAATGAGAGACGGTGAGGAGTCAAGATTGATTCCTGAGATTGGGAGTCTGAGGGAGGAGCAGATCTGGAATAAAAGAAATCAAGACTTATATTTCTGACACGTTGAGTTTGAGGTGCCTGTCAGACATCCAAATGTAAGTGTTTACAAGGTAATTAGATATGTAACTTATGGCCCAGTATAAACATTTTTTAGATGGAGTTTTTTATTTCAGTTTTTTTTTTTTTCCACCAAGGATAAAATATGGGAAAAGCCTAAGGGAAAGTACAGGAAAGAAAGGGAACAAAATAGCTCGAGCTGCACTATTGCTATGCCTAGGGTACTATTTGTGTCTTTTTACTTGTTTATGTTGTTTGTTTTATGTTTCTATTTCATTCATCTCAGTTTCTGGGTACACAGCATTTTGCTTTATGTCTTTTGAGCCTTATAATGTTCTACACATTGCAATTGCTCAGCAAGTAGTAATGGTTCTCATATACATGAAGGTACACTGTTCTTCTGGGACATTCAGTTCCCATTTAAAGGCCTTGGGAAACAAAAGATTCTAAGTTCACTGCCAAATCAAAATAGATGACTCCCTTTTCTTGCTCAGAATGTGTTTTGTGGTTAGAATTATATTAAAAATCATTTATAGCAATATTTATAAAAGTCTACTGAATAAATGAATGTTCTGTCAATTTGTGTTACAGAGCTACAAATTTTGTCAAGGAAAATTACAATTGATTTTAGACCAGTTGGATCCTGGGCAACCTAAAGAGGTAAGTTTAAAGGATAGCTGTCAAGTTCAGTCAGATATTATATATTTATAATATACTAGATTACAATCTGTAGGAGCTAGGCTATTTCTCTTGAGGCTAGGCCTTTATTATTATGGGCAATCCTAGACTAATATCCCTGGTAAACTTTCCAGTCTTGAAATGAAAGGTCACAGAGTAACAGAGGCTTCCCTTAGAGAATTGTCATGGTTTGTGAGAGAAAATTTTTATTTCTAGCTTCAGTTCTTCTGGAAGGATGAAGTTATGAGCTATTGTCTCCAGAACTGTTCTTCACTGTTGTTGTTGCTTTCTATGCAATGTTTTAGTTAAGTGACATTTATTGCTGTTCTACCTTTAGAAAATGTGAGTAACTTAAACATATTTTTAGTATACAAATAATCATTTATCATTACCATAAATAACATGTATGAACATGTTTTAGAATAGATATACATTGAAAAATGGCTAAATTGAGTTTATCAACATATGTATTACCTCATGTACTTATTTTTTGTGATGAGTACACTTAAAATCTACTCTCAGTGATTTACAAGTATAAAATACCTTAACATAGTCAGCATGTTGTTTAATCTCTTTAATTTATTCTTCCTGTTTATTTGAAATTCTGTACGCATTGAGCAACATCTCCCCAACCCTCCCATGTGAGCAGTGAGCAACTTTGTTATATTTGTTCATTTATTAGGGAAAGGTTTTTTAAAGAAGCAGTTGATTTTTTTTTTTTAATTTTAGTGTTTGCTTTAGGATATGTGTGAGAATTAGAGAGACAGAGAGAGCTAGAGAGAGAGAGGCAGAGAGAGTGAGATGGAGTGAGAGAAAGAGTGACAGAGAGAGTGACAGAGAATTAATCCCCTAGGGGGAATGGCCACGCTACAATCTCTTCTTCTCTATTGTCCTCTCAGGATTTGGGGCCCTTTTGTATCTGCCATGATTTTCAAGCTGTGGAGTCTGGAACTCTTAACTGCAGAGCCCGCTATTTGAGATCCAGCAGCCTTAACCTGCATACCACCTGCTGGCACTGAATTGTCTTTTTATTTATTAAAAGATTATATTAATCACTATTTATGAAGTCTTATTTTACTTGAAAGTCAATCAGAAATAGAAAATGGGGCTTTTTGTTTTTTGTTTTGTTTTTGCCATAGGGTGTGTGTGCTCACCTGAGAGATTGAGAGACAGTGAGACAGAAAGTGAGAAGTGTGGCCACGCCACAGTCTGTTCTTCTCCTGGGGTTTTGGGTGTTCATGTGCACGTGCCTGGCCTGATTTTCAAGCCACTGGATCTAGGACTCACACTGTGGTCAATCATGTGGGAGTCCAGCACCTTTATCACTATGCTGCCTGCCACTGAAGTTTTTTTGTTTGTTTTAACCTAAAACTTTCATGTGTATTTGATCCCAGTTTTTGAAGTTATTTTTCTCAAGCTTTGCATTTAAAAATAGATGAGTAGCTATGATTTACTTCCGATGAAATTTTCTAACAAATCATAGAGGAGAATAATTTTTCCTTTTAGCATGTTGTGTTCCCATTTATTTTCTTGGTTCTTGTTAAATAATAACATACTTCAAAAGATACTGAAAATGAGTTTTAGCTTTCATATGGTAAAAATCACATTTTAGTCACTTGAAATGGGTTATCTGGTTACTTATGTTTGTTCAGAAACTTTTCTGTTTCTGCAATTAGTAAATTATTATTTTATTTATCTAACTCTATTTATTTATTTATTTTAATATGACCAGGTAGAGTAAAAGAGAAAGGGAGAATGTGAGAAAGCAAGCCATCAGATCCGGGACTTGAACTATGGTTGGCCATGTGGGAGTCCAGCATCCTTAGGTACCATGCCACCCACCATCCCGTCAAGTAATAAATTATTTTTTTCTTTAAGAATTATGTAACTTTATTTATCCATTCATTTATTTATTTTAATTTAACCAGAGAGGATAGAGTGAGAGAGAGAGAGAGAGAGAAAGTAAGAAAGCAAGCCACCAAGTCTGGGACTAGAACTGCGGTCGGCTACCTGGCAATCCAGTGCCCTTAACCACCACACCACCTGCCGACCCCTCAAGTAATAAATTCTTAATAAGATTTTTGGTTTAAAAATTAACTGAAAGGAGAAATTATTTCACATTACAAATGAATTCCTAAGTTTTAAAACAATCTCCATATTCCTTCTAATGCATATCACAAATACGGTTTTATGTAGGAGTTTTTTCACATGAATATACAGACATTTTCAAATACATGTATATGCTCTGTCTTTTTCATCTGAAAATTGGAATCCTGGTTGAGAGAGTGTTGGTTTGCCAAGGTCTTGTCTCTGGTCTCCGATGCTTCACATTTTTAATTACTCAGCTTCCACTGTTTTGGCTGTGAAAAGATCAGATTTTGAGGACCAGGTTGGAGTCAGTGTGTTATTACACGCAAGTGGAGGAGAGGCTTTGTTCTGTTTGTCACTAGAGTGTATCTATCCACCACTGTTCCTCAGGTCATGCTATTTTGAGTGAATTCTGATTGGATTTTGAGCAGAGTGATTAAGAAGTATGCTTTCTGTGAAAATACAGAAATTCAATTTTGTATCCCACTGCCGAATGACTTTTTTTTTCCTATCTCAGTAGTTAGAAGGTCAGAAAATACAGTGTAGCAGAAAATGCAAGTTTAAACTAATTGTTTTGCGAGTATTGTTCATATATTCTAGAATGAGAATGCTTCACAAAAGGCATATCTAGGCAATGTTATAAAATTATAGCCCTCAAACTGTAGGACCATCTGTGCGAGCTAACTAGGATGTGGAAGAAATGAAGTCATAGGAAAATGTTGCCTTGGTGATTCTGATTCAACTACTGTCCTCCCTCTTAGTCCACTTATAACATGAGTCCTGGAGTCGTCTTCTACATTTACTATTTACATAAAACAGAAATCTGTTTTTTTTTTTTTTTTTCCGCTTAGCATTTAGTTTAAAAGATGTTTCAAGAGGTGTTTGAAAAAAAAACATCTAAGTCTTATAAATGGCTCTTTAAATCAGTTATCTAGACTCTGCTTTTCAGTAGTTTAAATATTGTTTTAGAGAATTGGTGTCCTAGTGGCTGAATATTAATACAAATCTTCTTTTAAAAAATTCCAGGTGAGGTATGAAGCCTTGCAAACATTATGTTCAGCTCCTCCATCTGATGTCTTAAACTGTGAAAATTGGACCACTCTCTGTGGAAAACTGACAGCATTGCTTTCTGATCCTGATCCTGTGTTTAGTGTAAGGAAATTGTTACTTAAATATTAAAAATAATTATGGTTTCCCACTATACTAGACATGAATGGAATATAATCTTTTTTAAAATAGTAGCATAACTATTTATAGAACTTCAGTTTCAACTTTTGGATTGTTGAAAAAATTTTTTAAAGGAATTACTATTTTGTGATTAGATTCAAAGTATAATTTGAATACATCATTGCCAAATAATAGGATATTATTTCATGCCTTTTGTTTTATTTTAAAAAAGAATATCCTAGTATTTGTGAATATTTCTAAATTAAGGAAAATATTTTAAAATTTATGATTATGAAAATTTTAACTTAAAAATACTGAATTAGAATATATTAAAAGGGTTCATAAATATTTTCCCCTGGCATGTAAGTGTTTAGAGACTACCTAACTGCTTAAAAAGAGAAACTAGAACCCTGTAATGCTGAGTTTATAATACAACTGGAGATAAATCAAAAGGAAAAATAAAAATTTCTAAAATTATAAAATAAAATCAGCAGAGATAGGATGGATTTACATAAATACTTTACATAAGCATTCAGAAACAGCTATTAAATGATGAAAAATAAGCTTTTATTAGTAAGTTTAGTAACTGTATAGATGTATATCATGTGAGTAAAACCTGGCTCCAAGCGCTACATTTCAATAGAAATGAGATTTTTTTAAAGAGGGCTTTTTTTCTTCCTAATTGATGTCAGTGAAGAAAATTTTGGCTTTTAAAATTGATATAGTATTTTTTACACAATTTAAGACATTAACACAACAATTGTATGTTGCTGTTCAAAAAATATGTGTTAAAATACTACACTGTACATGATTCCAGTTTAGATTGTGAAAGCACTAAGACAAAAAGTCTTTGTCCTCATGGATCTTACATTCTAGTAGAAGACATAAATAATTAACAGAGGTATCTCAATACACTTGTTGATTAAGATCAGTTTGTCATCAGTTTGGGAATCACTATTTGTTGCTTATGACGGGAAAAAGTGTTTACCTAATACTCAGATGCAGTTCCACCTTGCTAACACCAGAGGGTATTGTAGACTTCTGTAAAAACTCAGTTGTCTAAGCACTTCAAAGGTGAAAAAAATCAGGGTCATCTATAATATTTCAAAGCCCTCTAATAAGAAAAGAAATTGTGAATTTCCCTTTATTTTTCCATTTCTTCACAGATACTATAGATTTTTCTTTATTTTAGAACTTATAGGACAAGTTTATATACACTTAGTCATTTCTAGTGGGTCAGTATAAGTAACTTTATTTAGCCACTCTAGATTATTATACAGCAAGTGTCAGTTTTATTACTTAATGCAATTGGAAACAATTGATGTAGTGGAGAAGCGGTAGTAGAATCTGTCGTTTTGAGTAGAAAATGAGGCTTAAATTTGTACTTAATCCAGAATCTTTTTGAGTTCAATTCTGTTTCTTTGTCTCCTACTCTAAGGAACTCTAACAGGTAATTAAGCAAAGCCAGTAGTGGTAGAAAAGTATGACAGATGCTTACTTATCAACTGGTGTAACTATATAAATAGCTTTCCCAAAGTATTTGATATCCTGTGTTCTATCATAATTTTTTTAGGGTTATTAGTCACTTGGGGAATGATTTCTTGTAAGTATATTATCTTAAATGATATTAGCAAGGTTATTATAATAATTTCTACCCCCTTCTCCCAGATTAGAAAATTTGAGGCCGCTTTGTTTTATTTAATGGGAAGTTTCACTATTAAGATTAATCTCGTCATGATATTAACATTGGTATAATTTAAGTGATGGCTACCATGCTTTTAAGTGCCTATTAATACCACAGACTGTTCACTATTCTAACTTTATTATTTGATTCATTATCTTGTGATGGTCTCTATATTGACTTTTAATAATGGAACATTTAAAATATTACATAGCATTTTTCTTGGGAATAGGTTAAATTATTAGAAAGAATTCTAAATGTCTAATGTTTCCCATGTAAACAATATTAGAAAACAAATTTTGGACTTGGAAACATGATTTTTAAAAATAGAGTATTGCCTACTCTGTTCCTTTGTTTACTGACCTTTCTCAAATCTCCACTTTTCTCCCTCCATCTCTTCTGATGTTATAGCACCTGCTTTTACCAGATCTAGCAACACTATATTTTTGTTATTTGATTTACTAATAGGTTAGGTTGATTTTATCTTTCACTGACCAACATAAGAATGTGCTCTTTTTTACTAGGTACATTCCTACTCAGGTTTGTGAATGATTTGTATTGTGTATATTCTTTGAGTTTTTTAACTATGTAAAAATGTTTCTATTCAATTCTCGAGGAATCTTAAGTGCAGATCTTCTGTCTCATTTCTGTAGGACCGAATTTTAAAATTCTATGCACAGACATTTACACTTTCACCGTTACATATGACTAAGGAAATTTATACAAGTTTAGGTATGTTTATTAAGTCATTTTAAAATACTTATTTTTCTTTTTTGTGTAATATGTACTTAAGAAAAATGTATTAAATTTTTTCAGAAAGTACTATAAATGATTGGTGTCATAGTTTACATTTTTGCATTTTCTTTACAGCTAAGTATTTGGAGTTATACTTTCTTTCTAGAGAAAATCACATTCCTACTTTGTCAGCTGGTGTAGATACAACTAATTCCAATGTGATCCACATACTTAAAAAGGTATCCATTTTTTATGATTTAAAATTTATTATTATTTATTATTTATCCATTTATTTTTATTATTAAATAGCTCTGTATTTAAGAAGCTAATTTTTGAGAACTGTTGCATGTTGATTTATAGGTTCGTCTTCTAAATGAATATCAAAAAGAGGCTCCATCTTTTTGGATTCGTCACCCAGAGAAGTAAGTCCCCTAATTCAAGACACAGAGGTTACTGGCCTACCAACAGTTCAAAGAGAAAGAGTAGAGATAGTCTTAATGGATGTAAATGATTGAGAAGGGATTAGTAAAGTTTTCTTAGCTTCTGTTTTTTTGTCCTTCACTATGTTAGTGATTTATTCAAGTAGCTTTTTAACACTTTTATCACAAGATAAAGATAAAAAGATATTACAGTCTCAGGTCCTTACAGATCTTTGTGACTTTGAAGTTCCTTAAATATTCTTCTAACTTTTTTCTTTTGGCTCTAAAATGTTTAGTGAGGTTGTAAGAGAATCTGAATCTAAAAGGAGTGTAGTATTTGGAAAATCAGTGTTGAAGTAGAAAGAACATTAGTCTTTAATTGTCAAAGTGTATATATATGCTCTTTAGAGAAGGGGAAAGCCCCCTTCAGTGGGGCATGATCATGCTGCAATCCCTTTTCTTTAATTTCTCCATTCCATTGGGATCTTGGGCGTGCTTGCACATATACAATCCACCAGCACCAGGATTTGAAATATGGTTGACCATGTGGGATCTGGCTCCCTTAACCACTAGGCTAAAGGGCTGGGCCAAGAACAAGGATTTTTTTTTTTTTTTTTTTTTTTTGAATTGTATGCTCACCAGAGAGATGAGGGAGACAGAAAAAGCATGGCCTAATGGGGCATGGTCATGTCACAATCTCTTCTCTGTTTCTCCATCCCACTGGGATTTTAGGCATGTACACACATGTGCCTGCTATGTTTTTCAAGCCACAGGGATGGGATTCAAACTAGTCAGGTGGGAATACAGTTCCCTTAACTACTGCACTCCTGGACCAAACTGAACATAAGATTTCTTTCTTTAAAGAGTTTTTTTTTGCTATAGGGCATGTGCATTTGCCAGAGAGATAGAGAGACAGAATGTGAGAAAGCACACTCCCCCATGAGGGGGATGGCCATGGATGGCCATGCTGCATTCCCTTCTCCTCCATTCTCTTCTCCAGATTTTGGGTACATGCCCAGTGTGAGTTTCAAGCCTCTGGACCCAGGATTCAAATATGGTCTGCCCCAAAAACAGAAGATTTTTTTTTTTAAGCGAGATTTTTGCTATAGGGCAGGTGTGCTCATCAGAGAAACAGAAACAGAAAGTGAGAAGTCACCCACAGTGGGGATGGCCATGCCACAATCTTTTCTCTTCCATTCTCCTCTCTGGATTTGTGTACACACATATACACCTAGTGTGAGTTTTAAACAGCTAGGTCTGGGACTTGAACTGCGGTCGACTATGTGGTAGTCCAGTGACATAACCATTATGCCATCTACTAGTCCCCCAAACATAAGATTTTAAAGCAGAAAAACTGAGTGTCGGACTGGCAGATGGCATAATGACTATGTCTCTGGACTCCCATGTAGTTGACTGCGGTTCGAGTCCCAGACCCTGTGGCTTAAACTCACACTGGGCATGTGTGTGAGAGGAAAATGAAGAAGGGATTGTGGCCTGGCCATCCCCTTTGGGAGGGTGATTTCTTCCTTTCTGTCCCCCTGTCTCTCTCTGTCTTTCTGATGAGTGCATGCACTCTATAGCAAAAACCTCTCAAAAAAAAAAAAAAAAAAGAGTGTGAATCATACCTCTGCCATTTATTGAAATACAGAAACTTGTTTCTAAGATTTTATACCACTTTATCATAACATGGATTTAAAGTATATCACTGATACTGTTTGTGTAAATATATAAAACATGTATCTTTTTTTTCTAAAATAACTTTTTTTCTAAACTTATAGGTATATGGAAGAAATTGTGGAGAGTACTTTGTCCTTGTTATCAGTTAAACATGACCAAAGCCATCTTATTTCACAAAAGAATTTGGATCCAATATACTTTTTTGCATTAGTTGATACCAAAGCTGTATGGTTCAAAAAGTGGATGGTAATGAAAAATAGGTTTTTATGTCTTTTCATGCATTTCTGTATCATTTTAAAGAATAGCTGATGCTTGAGTGTTTCCTGTGTGCTTAAAGTCCTAATCATATTTACAGGTGTTAACTCAGTTAATTCTTATAAAAATATGTTGTAGGTGGTATTAATACCCCATTTTTCAGATTCAGTAACTGAAGTTTGGGGAAGTTACCTTGCCCAGGATTGTTTCCCTATGAAGTGGTAGAGCAAGAATATGAATTTTTAAAAAAATGATTACTTCCCTGAGAGAGAAAGACAGGCACCCCCAGCGTGGTCTCTGTGCCACTGTCCCCTCCAGTCTCAGCTCTCCCAGATCACAGGCATACACAGGTGCATGTCCAACATGCTCAGCAAGGTCCTGGGACATGAATTCAGGATCTTTCCCAGGTGAGTTCAATTGCATTATTGCCATACCACTGCCTACATCCCAGAATAGCATTTTGAATGCTAATTCATTTGAATCCATTTAAGCTAAGTAAATTATTCAGAATCTCAATTTCATTAGTCCAAAAGCTTCTAATATTTCAGGCCAGCCCAGTTGTCTAGTAGTTAAGGAAGCTGGATCTCACATGGCCTCAGTGACTTTAAAAACCTGCCAGGCATGTTTGACTACAATCCCAATAGTGAAAAAAAAATGGAGAAAGGACTGATGTGACCATGCCCTATTGCCCTATGACAGAGGCTTTCTTCCCCTCCTCCCCCCCGCCTTTTTCTTTCTTTCCAACAAGTATTTGAACCCTTTGGCAAAAGAAAAAAGGTAAAGCTGCTAAAATTTTAAGCAATATGGTAGAACATAATTTAGTGCTCTTTTTTTGTTTGTTTTTTTCCTTCCTGCTTAGAAGGTAAGTGTGAAATGTTCCTTCATTTGCTTTCTCCTAAACCTGCAGTTTGTGAAATACATTAAATGCTTTAATCTGGTGATTTTTTGTGGAGTTTGTCACTGTCCAGGAACTGAAACTATTATTAAGGATAGATTTTATTTTATTTTTTTTACTGTTCCCTCCCTCAGTCAGTACTGAATAAGAGAAGTCTGTGTCTGCCAGTTGTAGTAACAGTGCTGGCTTGCGTGCTCATATCTTCGTTTCTCTCAGCCTGTCAACCAGGCACTCGGTTGTAGGGGAGAAGAGAAACTGGGCCGTGACTTGCCATGAAAAACAGCACATGATCATTTACTTCTCAGTGCAGTTTGGGTGTTATCTGATGGCATTTTTTGGTATGTTTTGTGAATCTGAATTATTCTCTGAACTATATAGTGTGAATCTGAAAAATGTTTATTCAGTTTAATTAAATTAATTTCGCCCAAATTCTTTTTCACATCTGTAAGATTTTTTTATTGATTATCAAGCTATGCTATCTTTAGAGCAAATATATATGTAAATGCACAAATGAAATTTTTCTAATTATATAATACAGGATAATAACTATTAAGATTTTGGTTGATACAGCTATATATAATATAGACATTCTTATATGTGTATAAGACTTTTTTAAAAACCAAATGAAGCATATTTTTACTGTTTGTGATTAACTTTAAAAAAATTGCTGTAGGCCATGTGCACTCACTAGAGAGAGAGGGAAAGGGAGGAAGCACCCCTGGGGATGGGGGGAAGGATGTCTGTACTGCAATCCCTTCTCTTCCATTCTTCTCTTGGGCATGCAAGCACATGTGCCCAGGGTGTTTTTCAAGCTGCTGGGTCTGGGACTCGAACCAAGCAGTCGTAGGATCCAGCCACCTTAAGAATCATGTCACCAACTGATACATGATTTAAAAAAAATATTTAATTTTATTTATCATTATTATTATTTTTTTATTTGCTACAGATTTGCTACAGGGCACATGGGCTCGCCAAAGAGAGATGAAAGAGAGAGAGAGAGGGTATGGTGGTGCCCGCCCTATGGCAAAAACCTATGGGGGCTGGAGGATTGTGGCATCGAGTCCATCTCACTCTCTCTCTCTGTCTCTCTCGGCGAGTGCACGATTTTTCCTCATGCCGGGCGCATGTGCGTGCGTGCCCAAAATCCCTAGAGGAGAATGGAGGAGAAGGGATTGCAGCGTGACCATCCCCCCTGGGGGGTGATTTCTCGCTTTCTGTCTCTATGTCTCTGTCTGTCTGGCGAGCACATGTACCCTGTAGTGAAAATCTCTCCAAAAAAGAAAAAAAAAAGAGAGAGAGAGAGAGAGATCACCTTCTGCAGGGGGGATGACCATGACACAATCTCTTCTCCATTCTTCTTTCATGATTTTGAGCATGCATACACATACATGCACCTGGCATGATTTTTAACCCAGGTCTGGGACTCAAACTGTGGTTGGCCATGTAGGAGTCCAGTGCTTTAACAACTATGTCAACTGCTGGCCCCTGAAGAAACTATATTTTGAAACCTACTGTGTTTTTTGTTTTGTTTTGTTTTTTAAGAGAGATTTTTGCCGTAGGGTGTGTGCACTCGCCAGAGAGACAGAGAGACAGAAAGTGAAAAATCACCCCCCAGGGAGAATGGCCACATTGCAATCCCTTGCCCTCCATTCTCCTCATGGGATCTTGGGCATGCATGCACATGTGCCTGGTGTGTCTTTTAAGCCGCTGGGTCCATGACTTTAACCATGGTCAACTATGAGGGAGTCCAGCAACATAACTATTACACCATCTGCTGATCCCATTAATGATATTTCACACAATTTAGCTAAATAATATTTATGATTTTCCATGGTGTTTTACAATGCTGTACATGTACATGTTTTAATCGTGTCTGTTTTCAACTCTAAGGAGAAAAATAAAGCTTTTTTTATTGTGGCACTTTGAATCACTTTAAAATATGAGTTGCCGAGGTTGATTAGGATACTATCCCTTCGAAGCATTTCAACCTTGGCCGTTTTTGCACATGTGAACAGTATATAGTATTCTCTTCAGTATAAGAACTGTGATTTCTCCCCCTCCCCGCCCCCAACCCCTTCCCAGTTCAGTCAGTTCTCTGATACCCTTGAAGCTTCCCAGTTCATTCAGTTCTCTGATACCCTTGAAGCAAGGTGTGCTTCTTTGGTAGTGGTTTTAAAATAGCTTGGCTTAGATATTGCACACAATTGATGGATAAAATGTTTTTCTATTGGTCTGTCACTTAATGATCTATAAGATTTTTTTTTTATGTACTTTTCCTTCTTGCAATTTCTTTGCCCCAAATCCAATGTACTTAGGATAACTTGTTCATATTGATTATAATAATTTAAGCCTAAGTTATGTGATTTACGATGTTATTGGAAATAACATAGGAAAGATTTTAAAATATTCAATACCATTTTCCCTTTAATTCTAGCATGCATATTATAGCAGAACAGCAGTACTGAGACTTCTTGAAAAGAAATACAAAGCTTTGGTAAGTCGGTACTTCTGTTTTTATGTTGAGAAATAGTATCGCAAAAAATATAGGATGTAATGTGAATATGTAAAGTTAAATGATAATTAATATTGCATAATAAAGAAATTCCCCCTTTTTGTGACCTAAAACTACTGTCATATGAAACATAAAAGGTCAAAAGTATAGAGACTTAAAATGAAGTCAAGATAACAATTAGGAAATATGTAAATATGTAGAAAATTGGACTGCCATAACAAGCTAGTTTGAGAAAAGCCACCTTTTTGTGTGTTAGCATGTAGTTTGATTCAGGTTAGGTATTAATAAAAGAATTACTTCTTTTATTTAAAATATATTTTAGAATATATATTTTAAAATATACCTGTCTTTTTGAGTGGAAGTTGTATGAAAAAACTTTGAAAAGTAAATGTGTTTTGCATTTGAAAAATAATGATTTTAGTTACACCAGCTGTGGATTAATACTGTGAAGCATATTACTAAAATTATCTACATTTGTTACTCTTAGTAGAACAATGTTGTGAAGGACACTGAAAAAACTGAAAAGAAATCAGTAAGTCTAAAAATTGACAAGCATGAAAAACATGAAATTCATTAAAATATTTTAAGTTAATATAAGTTTGGGTCAATAAATATTGTTTATGGAGTTAGGCAGAGCTTTGAGTTTAGAAGTTAAGAGAAGGAAAAAATTCCTGGAGTTGTGAACTTTTGGATAAGTGCAACAGAGCATAGAGTAAAAGAAGGAAAACAATAATTTTTTTTGTGTTTGATGATCAAGAGAATTGAGCAGCAGCAAAAGAAAGGGATATTGAATAATAAGAATTTGGGACCAGCAGGTGGTGTAGGGTTTTTATCGCTGGACTCCCACCTGGCTGACCACAGTTTGAGTACTGACCTGGTGGCTTGAAACTCACACGGGGCGCATGTGCGTGGGTGCCCAGGATCCCAGGAGAACGATTGTGGCGTGGCCATCTTCCCCGTGGGTTGATTTCTCACTTTCCCTCTCACTGTGCCTGTCTCTCTCTCCTGCCATGGTGAGTGAGGCAAAAACCTCTACCAAAAAAAGAGAAAATAATTTATTTGTATAGGTAAGAGGTATTTACAGTTTTATAAAACTTATATTGAAATAAAGTCGTTCCTCATCTCGTTTCTTTCCAATTATTCTTTTAAATGAAAATTTGTTATTGTCATCTGAGTATAGACTGATCTTGCTACAGTAGAAAAATAAAGAATAGGATGATTTTTCCCCCATGGTTTATGTACAACTCACTGTTGCTATTGCAGAGGTCCTTGTGGGAATAATTCAAATATTTATTGTAGATTAATTCTAAAAATTCATTTCTAATTGATAAATAATTGTTAACCTGCAAGTAGAATGAACTTCATTATAAATTACTTCAATGTTGTATCAACTTAAGTATTTATTTCATGTGTCTAATGGGTCAGACTTACTTGTATATCAACTTCAACCTATTTTTTAAGGAAAAGAAAATGGTACCTGAGCGCCAGTGGCTATTAAGGTACCATTCTCTTTTCCTTAAATATTTTCCCCCAACGTTTTTACAGATTGACTATTTCTGGTTCTTGGACTTTCAGGTTGAAAGTTTCTATAATAAATAAGTCGCATTATCTTATCAGATATCCACAGCAGTTCAGCAGTGTATTCAATACTTTGAATTGTGTGAGGCCATGAAAGCTGATGAAGTTTTGGGACATTCAAAGTATTGCAGTAAGTATTATTTTCTCTATTATGTACTTTAAAAAATGATAAATTTTATTAGTAGAAATATTTTAGTAATTTTATTTTTTAAGAGTTACTGTCATGTTTGCTAATGTTGTAAAATATTTTTTTACATCTTTAAAAGGTGCACTATAATCATGGCCTCTTATGACAGATCCACATTTGAAATTAATTTGTGCCACACTGGTTGTTATTATATGCATTTCTTCAGCTTATACCCGGGTATACAGTCCATTCTTTCTTCTTTGCTAGTGGATCAGGAATTTGATCAGGCTCTTGAGGCATTTTAGTGGTAGAAAAAATTTTATAAAATATTTTTTATTATTGGAAACCTCATCCCAGCTGTGATTTTCCCTCTGCTAGCTAGAGGATGAGCTAACATGTCCCAGATGCTTCATAATCTGGTCATAATTTCTCCATCCAGTCTCTTCTCTAGTTATTGACTAAAGTGACTCTTCTGTTAAATTCGTTTGCATCTATATACACTTCTGTTATTTGTAGACTATTGCCACACCCATAGTTCCATACAATAATAAATCTCTTACTTACTGTGAAAAAACTTTAATTTTTTTTTTTTAGAGAGGTTTTTGCTATAGGGCATGTGCGCTCGCCAGAGAGATAGAGAGACAGAGAGACAAAGCAAGAAATCACCCCCCAGGGGGGATGGCCACGCCGCAATCCCTTCTCCATTCTCCTCTCAGGATCTTGAGCACGCATGCACACGCACCTGGCATGAGTTTAAGCCACCGGGTCTGGGACTTGAGCTGTGGTCGACTACATGGGAGTCCAGTGACATAGCCATTACGCTAACTGCTGGTCCCAAAACTTTAAATTTTTAAGAAGGCTTCTCTGCTCTTTCTGAATTTTTCTTATAACTTTCCTCGTGAATATGATATCTTTTATTTGTTACTTTTATGTTGTTGCAAAAAGCAAATAGTTATTTTGAAAGTGTGAAGATATAATTTTCATTATCCTGGGGTAAGTTCTTTATCTAACCTCCACTGGGTTCAGGACTCGCACCTCCGTCAACTACATGGGAGTCCAGTGATGTAGCCATTCCGCCATCTGCTGGTCCCTTTAGTTTGGGCTTTTAAATGGTAGAATTAGGGAGCCAGCAGGTGGCATGGTGGTTAAAGGTGTGGATTCCACGTGGCCAACTGCGGTTCAAGTCCCGGACCTGGTGGCTTGTTTTCTCACTTTCTCTCTCTCTCTCTCACTCTGACTCTCTCTGGTCAAATTAAAATAAATAAATAAATAAATAAATAAAGTTAAATAAAATAATTCTTTTAAAAAATGGTAGAATTAAATAGTAACTATCTTTTTTCTTTCTTTTTTTTTTTTTTTTAAAGACTTTGTCCCTTTTTTTAACCTACTTTTGATATTCCTCTTTGGTGACATAACTGTAGCAAACTAAAATGAGTAAAAGGCTTATATGAACACTGTAAGCACATTATACTTTTCTGAGGTTTTCCAAATGTTCTAACTGCTTTTCCTAAGTTTTAGCCTAAAAGGATTTTGGGAAACAGTAAGAAAGTAAATAATTAAAAATATTACATCAATAGTGTCTCCATTACAAACTATAGCCTTGTTAAATGTGCAGAAGGGAATAAGACAAATACTTTCAGGTATAATGGCACTAACATAAGTGTTCTTGTTTGCTTCTCTTAAGGCAACAAACAGAAAACTTTCTACTACTCAGGACAAGAATTACAATATATTTGTTTTATTCATTCACTGTGCTTATTAGGAAGATTATTGATCTATACACAAGGCAGAAAACTATTTCCTATAAAGCTGAAGAATAGGAAAGGTAAGCACAACTAGGAGAAACGAATTGAGATATGTTAAAATATATATGCTAAGGATTATTGACACTTGGAAATTTTGCATGGTCTCTTTTAAGGTACTTTGCTATATACCTTTCAGTCTACTGATAACATACACTTTGAAGTATATGTTTGTTTGTTTCATTGTTTGTTTTTAGTTTTCAGTATGTATTGCTGTATGGTCTTTTGTATTTCCCTGGCCCTTAGTGTTATATTTCTCTCTGCCTTTCCGAATCCTAGACATATTTAATTCAGACAGATTCAGAACTAGTAGACCTTGTTTAAGTGCTAGTTCCCCTGTAAACTATTAATAGTTGTAATCTTTTGGGCAAGTCATTTAAACTTTTTGTATCAGGTTTCTTTAGTGGTCAGATGGAATAATATCAGTAATGTTGGACTCACAGAATTTTTGTGGTCACAGAAATGATGTTTGAGGATGTTATTTCATAAACTGCAAAGCCCTGTACTATTTGATATATTATCATAGTCCGTTTACTGTAAGTCTCATTAAATATTTTTTCCTCAAACTTTATCTGCTGTTAGTTATTTTGCTTATTTTCTTTAAAATGTTATACTAAGAGTGTATTACAACTTAGGGATCATCAAATGTTTTCTGTAAAATGTCAGATAGTAAATATTTTGGGCATTGAGGGCCTCATACTATCTTTGTTGTATATTCTGTGCATGTGTTTGTATGTGTATGTGCACAAAAAAGAGTTAACATAGCAGGCCCGATATGACTCTCCTTGGAAAGGCCTACTTACAAGGTTGGCTTGTGGCTGGCATTGTATTGGGTAGGGTTTTCCAGAGAAATAGAACCTACAAGATAGATATGTGTGTAAAAAAAGGGATTATAGAAAATATCTCACATGATCATAAGGTGGAGATGTCCCACAATAGGTCTGCAGCCAGAGAAACAGCTCTAAGACTCGGAAGCATGAAAGCTGGTGCATTTTACTCTGAGGCCTGAGAGGCATCTTCAGGAGACTCTGAAGCAGGGAAGTTAATGCAGTTCCAACCCAAGGCCCAAAGGGAGCTTTAGGCACTGCTGGACTGAGGACCCTCAGATGGCTGTTGGTGAGTCCAAAGTTTAAAGAACTTGGACTCTGTGTGGCTGCAGAGGTCTAGGATCCAGGAGCTGGCAGGAATAATCATAGCCAAGGGATCAGTCGGGGAGCAGGAGTGGAACAGGCAAATGTGCAGGAGTAGAGCACATGGTGCACTCTAGAGGAAAGACGAGTGAGAGAGAGGGAACAGAATGTCACTTCTGTTTGTGCACCCCGCTGATTGGATGGCATCCCCCTACATTGAAGCAGGTTTTCCTCTCTTACCCACTGAATAATATGCCAGTCTTGTGATAGGTTCACAAATACACTTAAAAACATTGTTTCAATAGCCTTTCAAGTATTCTTTAATCCAGTCAAGTAGACACTCAAAATTAACCATCACACCCATTATCCCCATAACTGCTAGGAGTGCCTAAATTGTTCACTGATCACTGTACTTAAATTGCAAACAATCTAAATTATGCTCATTACCTGCTTTCCTTTTAAAGTTCAGGATTTTGGTATGTGCTAGGCAGAGTGTGTTTATGTGCTTAGCCCTCAGTTAAAACCTTGGACAATGTGTATCTAATGAGTGTTCCTGATAGACAACATGTGCTGGAAGAATTAGGTATATGTGTGTGACTCTATGGAGAAAGGACACTTGTAAATTTGTACCTGCTTTGCCCTGGATTTCATCCTATACATCTTTTCCCTTTGATTTTTTCCCCTTTTGTTATGGTAAATCATAGTTACTAGGATGACTATGTGTTGAATCCTGTAAATCTTCCTAATGAATCTGGACAGGGTTTTGAGAATCCTTTAAAAATTTAAAAAGTATATATCCATTCAGAGCTTGCGAGACTTATAGAATTAAGCCACAATGGCTGTAGTTTGCTGAACCTCATTAGAGAATATGTTCATTTCAAATACTTTTCTTTCTCTTTTAACTGTTTCCTTTTTGTTTTATATATACATTCAGAGAACTTTCAGTAAGAGTTACTATTTTATAGAATATTGTTGTTCTTTATAAAAATAGACAGTATACTTGTGGTATCATTGCAGATATTCACCTTAAGTTAATATGTTCATCATCTATAACCTTTTCAGTACTTTATATTGACTTTTATCTCTGTTTTGTTTTATCAAATGTCACAGGTCATCTCAAAACTGAATTCAGTGAGGTCTGTTCTATTATTATTTTAACATAGGTCAGCATTCACTTTTAAGTTTCATATGTGGTTTACCAGAATCTTCTAATGCAGGTTTCTATAGGAAGGGTTGTTAAACTGTAGTCTATAAGCCAAATCTGGTCTGCCATCTGAGTTGTATACTTGTGAACTAAGAATGGCTTTTATATTTTTAAATTGTTAAAATTAATGAGAGAGTGTTTTGTGGTGAGTGAAAAATATATAATTAAATTTCAGCATGTATGAATAAAGTTTAATTGGTAAACAACCATACTTGTTCATTGCCTATTGTGCATTGACTACTTAATACTACACGAGCAGATTTGAATATCTATGACAAAGACCATTTGTTAACAAAGCCTAAAATATTTATTTATTTATATGTTTTTGCCTTAGATTATGTGTTCTTGCTGGAGAGAGACAGAGACAGTGAGAGGGAAACTGAGAAATCACTCCTCAGGGAGCACGGCCGCACCACAATCCATTTTTCTCCATTCTCCTCCCAAAATCTTGGATACGTGTACACACACCCTGCTGTGTTTCAGGCCACTGGGTCTCGGTCTTAAACAGTGGTCAGTCATGTAGGAGTCCAGTCGTGTAACTGCTACGCCATCTGCTGGCCCATAAAATATTTATTGTCCAGTCTTTTGTTGAAAAAGTTTGCTGATCCCTGTCCTACAGTGCTAGAGAGAGAAGTTAGCTGTACCAACATGTTAAGCTGAATTTTTACTACTCCTGACTGAATAAACTCAAGCAGCCAGCCATTGGACTCATATGTCTTCCTGTTGCAAATTTATATTAAGTGATTGGTACAAAATGGATGGTAAAAAATACCTTCACATAGTCCCTATTATATCCCTTGCTGTCTTCGAACTTACTATGTAATATCTTTTGGAGTCTTCTGTATTGAATTACAGCTGTCTTGCCTGGATGCATCGTAGTCTACATGAAAATTCAATCATATTGTTGGATAGAGGCTTGGTTGAATTTTTCTAAGTTTGGCCTGCCTCATGATGCAGTGGTTTGAAGCTCTGTGTAAAGGAAACTAGATCCCAGATGGCTGACCAGCGTTTGGTTTCTGGCCCTGATGGCTTGAAAAACATGCCACGAGCCATACGTGCAGGATCTTGACAGGATGGAGAACTGTAGGAAAAAGAGTTTCATTATGACCAGGCTCCATTGGGGTCTGCTTTCTGTCTTTCTGTTTCTGTCTCTAACATGCATGCATGTGTGACCTTTAGCATAATTCCCCCCCCCCAACTAAATTGTAAATGTGTGCTAGAAATTAATTTTTTCTCTTTCTTTTTTTAAAGATTCAGTATCCCTTACAGATCTGCTGGTTCTGTTTACTCAACTTATCTATTACTCACCAAGTTGTCCAAAGATGGCATCATCTGTACATTCAGGTAATTCTGCCTTTATTGTAAATAGAGAGTACAAAACATCTAAAATAAGCATTCTGTAATCTAGAAGTTTTGAGTGACTTACCTAGTTTGGTAAATAAGTTTCATTAAGAAACAGTATTGAAGGACCAGCAGATGGAATAATGGTTAGATCACTGGACTTCCATGTAGTCGACTGCAGTTCAAGTCCCAGACCCTTAAAACTCATGCTGGGTTCATGTGCATATGTGCCCCAAATCCTGAGAGGAGAATGGAGGAGAAGGGATTGCAGCATGGCCATACCCATTGGGGGGTGATTTCTTGCTGTCTCTATCTCTCAAATGAGTGCTCATACCCTATCGCAAAGATCTCTCTTTAAAAAAAAAGACACAATATTCATAAGAAATTACATTGTTCCTGAAGTAAGCCATGAAACTTTTGTTCATTGATATTTTGAAATATTTCTCATCTATAGCCTTTTCATTCAGAATCATTTTGCTGAGAATTTTAGTGTTCTTTGTTAAGATCAAAATATTCTCAAGAAATGATATTAAGGAAGGTTTGATTGATAGGTACTAATGTGTTCTTTTTGCTATTTTCTATCCTTCACACTTTCCAGGATGTTTTGATCAGCTAGCTTGTTTTGGCTCATATCCAACACTTTAGTTTTTTCAGGGTCTTCATACATTGGAGAATAAGGACAGAAAAAACCTTTACATTTTTTCAGTATAAAATGCGTTTTGGTCTTATGACTATTGACTGGCTTATTAAAATGTTTTAAAATAACATGTAAAAGATAAATTACTGTTTTTCTTTTAAATATGAATGAAAATTTATCCAAAGTAAAACACTTGGTAATAAAACACCCTAGGGCATGGTGCTACCCGCCCTGTGGTAACAAAACACACCAACAATGCGTAGACTTACAGTGTTCTAAAACCATGATGTACTCTAAAAATGAAAAGCTGGTACAAGTTTGAGAAGAACTCACGTGAATAAAATTTAAAAAATGGTTTGGGCCACATATCAGTGCTTTTCCATATCTATCCAACTAGGAGGTTTTAACCTATGCAATTATTAACAACCTGTTGATCCTAACAGTGGTTCTCAGACTTTTTTCTGAATTTGTACATTTACATGTAAAAAGTACTAGCTTAGGTCCCCCTGCTGTTTGTTCCTACAACATACTATGCTCCCTTTATGACAAAATTTAGCCTCTTTATTATAATATCTACTGGATTGTATTAGTCTTGTTTACTTCTTTGTCTTTAGTGCCCAGCATAGTGCCTGGCACTTAGTGGGCATTCAGTTAATAGTAGACAATTAGGTGAATGAATGAGTGGCCATATGTTTATCAGTGATATCTGTCACTGTTGGCCAGCCAGGGTGGTGCAGTGGTAATACAACACTCCGTGATGCTGAAGCCGTCTGAGAAGGCTCCAGGTTCCTGAGATCTGCCTATACACTCTGGGCGTGTGCATGCTTGTGCCTGATACCTGGGATCCCGGGTGACTAGGGCTGGGAATACAATCGTGGTGTGAAGACCTTGTTGGGAGTGCCTGTCTGTCTCTCTCTTCCCCTCTCTCCTTCCCTCTTTCTTTTCTTTCCTCTCTCATGGAAGAAATAAAAAATTTGAAAAAATTCTCTTATTGTAAACAAGCTTTCTTACCTGGAGCTGGTTGAAAAATCACTAAATTTCTTTTTTCCATTTTTCTCTTTGTCAGCTATCAACATAAAATCAGCATATTCATTGAGTATAGAGTATTGTAATATAAATTAAAAACTTGTTTATCAAGTTTAGTATTATACCTTTCTAGGACAGTCTTACATTAAACATTATGGTAGTGAGGATATTAGTCAAATATTTAAAAAATATGTTAATTTGTAAAATTAAAAATCACCTTTCACTGACTTCTCTAACCCTGTTCCGTTTATGTGTATTTATGTTTTTCTCTACCCATTTTAAAAGCAAATCTTAAACATGCTCAGTATCTTTATTGGTTTTATGGTAATGCAAGGAGTATATCAGTTTCCATGAAAGTTTATTTTTGTCTTCCTTCTTTTCTGTCTATGGTGTCATTTTAATAATGCTCATTTAACTTTCTATTAGGCTTAATACTTGAATATTCAACACACAGAATACAAGTGAAAGTGTTTTTAGAAAGAGAAAAAGTTTGTGTTTAATTCAACCATATCTTCAGTAGTGAGCAGCAATTTAATGTCAAATAGTGCATAATCTTATTTTTTGATGTTCATATTGTCATTTATCTGCTTTTTATTAACTTGAAAACATATTAGATTAAATGAGATCCCCTTAAGTTTCAGGTTATAATTTGGTAACACATTGACCTTTGGGCATTTAATTGTATAATTTCTGAATTAAAACCGATAAAAATATTAAGTTAACTTCGCTGTTGACCTATTTTTTTTCTTTTTTTGAGAGATTTTTGCCATAGGGTATATGCACTTCTTAGAGAGAGAGAGAATAGCCTAAAAAAGGGAAAATGAGAAATCATCCCCCAGGGCAGGATGGCTGTGTTACAATCCCTTCTCATCCATTCTCCTCTCTGGATTTTGAGGATGCATTCACTGGTGCCCTATAGCAAAATTTATAAGGTGTGAGTTTTAACCTGCAGGATCCGGGACTTGAACTCCAGTCGACTATATGGGGGTCCAACTCCTTAACCACTGTGCCACCCACTAGCCTCAATGTTGACCTTTTTTAGAACAACAGTACCTAACACAAAAATAAAAGTAATACAAAGAATGTAATGTTTACTATTTTGATTTTTAAAAAGATTTCTTGTTTATCAGAGAATTATTCTCCTGCAAGTATGGTGACTGAAGTTCTGAGGATACTCTGTGATCAAAAAGAATGTGCGATTGAATGCTTGTATACTACTACTGTGATAGACGCACTCCTTCAGCCTATTCACAATTTAATGAAAGGAACTGAGGTTGGTATTATTTACTGAAGAGAAAAAGAGTCTCTTAACTGGTTATTAGTGAATATTCAATAGGACTTTATTTCTAAATTTGCTTTATTTGAAATATTTTATTATGCTTTCTTTCCATTATATGAGCTTATTTTGTGCTGATATAGATTTTGATGATTAAATCATAGCTTATTCAGTTGATTGATTTATTAGTTATGATACTGTAGGAAAAAGTACATGCAACATCCTGATTGTCTTTATTTTTAATCAGACTTGATCTGCTAATGTGAAGAACTTAGTAAAATTATTTTATTAAGAAGCTATTTGTCTTGCAAATGTAATGAATCTTATACATATTTTGTTAATTATTTTGTCTTTTTGTTTGTTTGTTTTAGTGCCAAAGGGCATGTGCGCTTACCAGAGAGAAAATTCTCCAATGAGTTATGGCCAGCACTACAATCTTTTTTCCTCTGTTTCTCCATCTCGTCAGAATTTTGGGCACATGTGCCTTGTTTGTTTTTCAAGTTGCTGGAGATGGGATTCAAACTGTAGTCAGCCACGTGAGATCCAGCTTCCATGTACAGTGCTTAACCCCTGTTGTGAGGCAGGCCTGCTTACTTGTTTTAATGTCAATTTTATGATCATGGAAATAGGGTTATTTTTTGAAGACCACTGTGCTTTATGTTAAGAGCTATTATTGCAATTGTATATGTGGTTCTAGTTCCGAACAGTCTCTATAGTTTGTTTGCACAATATATGCCCTTGCATTATATAATTTAATGATCACACTCAAGGCTGAGAGAAGTGACTTACTTAGGTCACACATTTTACAAGTGGCAGAGTTGGTTCTGTTACTAGTCCTGCTGTCTTCCAGGATATCCTCCACTTATAACTTAGGTTTCTCAGCATTGACTTTTTAAGGATATATAAGCCACTTTCCTGCTTATTGCTTGCTAGAAAAATATTGAAATATTCATCTTGAAATTTACTAACTTCTATTTTCTAGTCTCCTATTTTCTATACTATATAACAGAACATTTGCAGCTTCTACAAAATATCATTATATCTACCTATGTTTATACACTTTTCCTCATCCTAGAAAATCTTAAATTTTGTCCACATGAAAAAGTCATTTTTTCAAGACAGAGTTTATCTGAAATTTCTCTCCATTCTCACTTGTAGAGGTTTTTTTTTTTTTTTTTTTTTTAGGTTTTTGCTATAGGGTGTGTGCACTCTTCAGAAAGACAGACGGACAGAGAGACAGAAAGTGAGAAATCACCCCCCCAGGGGGTGTGGCCACACAGCAATCCCTTCTCCTCCATTCTCCTCTTGGGATCTTGGGCACGCATGCACATGCACCTGGCATGAGTTTAAGCCACTGGGTTGAGGACTCAAACCATGGTTGACTGCATGATAGTCCAGTGACATAGCCATTATGCCTACTGCTGGTCTCGAGTTTTTTTTTTTTTTTTTTTTTTTTTTTTCCTCATTTTATGTACTTTGGTAATTATACTTATATTATGCTTGAACTACTGATATTTATGGAGACCAGCCCTTTACCACATAGTATCTAAGACATCCAGCATCACCCTTCCTTTGGGGCCACTATTATATCATTAGCTCTGTGCTAGGTGCTGCAGATACGAAAGTAAGGCATGATTTTTTTTTTGCCTCTAAGGAAATTGATAGTAGAGGCGAACCTACCTGTAAGAAGAACTATTTAAAATGAGGAATACAAAGCTTTTTAAAAAGTTTATGTAAATATGCATGACAGGATATATATTCTTATATATATGTGACACAAGATTATATATGTATGTACAGGTATGAGAGAAGGAAAATGCTTTAGGTTTTTTGTTTTATTTTTTATATTTTTGCTATAGAGTACATGTAGTCACCCAAGACAGAGGGAATGTGAGAAATATTCTCCCAGCTGGGATGGCCACACTGCAATCCCTTCTCCTTCATTCTTCTCTCAGGATTTTGGGCATGCATGTACACGTGCCCTGCATGATTTCCAAGCCATTGGATCTAAGACTTGAATATTGGTCTGCCCTGTGAGAGTTCAGCACCTTAACTGACTCCAAAAAGTTGTTGTTGTTCTTTTTTTTTTTTTTTGAGAGTTTTTTGCTATAGGGCACATGCACTCGAAAGATAGAGACAGAAAGTGAGAAATCATCCCCCAGGGGGGATGGCCACGCCACAGTCCCTTTTCCTTTCTCCTCTTGGGATCTTGGGCATGCACGCACACGCGCCCGGAGTGAATTTAAGCCCCTGGGTCCAGGACTTGAACCACGGTTGACTACATGGTATTCCAGCAACAGAGCCATTATGCTAACTGCTGGTCCCTCCAAGAAGTTGTTTTAAGAAAGATACCTAGGGCCAGATGGTGTCATGGTGGTTAAGGCAGCTGGATCCTACATGGCCAACCTTGCAATTGGAGTCCAGATTCAGTGGCTTGAAAAACACACCAGGTGTATATGCGTATATGCCCTAGGTTTTGAGGGAAGGAAAAAAATGAAGGAGAAGTGATTGCAGTGTAACCATACCCCATGGGGGTTATGCTTTCTTACTTCATTGTCTTCCTCTTTCTTTGGTGGGCATATGTGCCCTTTGGTAAAATTAAAATAGAAAATATAATATGGGAAGTGATAGATTATCTAATATAATTCAGATTTCTTCTTTAGGTGAGTATATCTGATATCACTAGTTACTCTGACTCAACAAATTATTAGATTCTTTTTGTTGTAAAGTATACATTTTCAGATTTATTTCGGAGAATGTGCATTGGCATCTATGCAGGGGTTGAAAAATAAGCAGACCTCAGAAAGAATAGGAAGTAAGCAGATAAGCTTCTGCATTAACATGGTTCTCCAGGTTTCTGTATTTGCTCTGTGCTGTTTTGCTGTATATCGGCCAAGGCATTTTAGTACTTGTACATAAAATCAAAAGTGAGGAATATGATTGGTTTAGTTTGTTTTCATAGTAGCTGACATTTGCTATTGGCCAGCACATGAATTGGCTGTTCCTATTATGGTGTACACTCATGACCCGGTTGGGTATGGGAGGGAATGGTATCCCTTGGAAAGGATGGCAGTGTGTCAGATATTATATATAATTGTTTCAGATATACAGGAACCCAGTGGATTGGAAGTAAAATGAAAAATAGAAACAGGGACTTTGATATTCATCAACCGGAATTATATACAAAACTGTAACAGGAGCAGCAATTCTCAATAACTGGTTTGGGCGAAAAATCTATTTATTTGCCTCATCAACTGACTGGTAAAAGAATATAATCTGATGACACATTTAATTCAGGCATATTATTTCATAGCCAAACAAATCATTACTTAGGTTGTTGTGGTAATATAACTTTATTAGACTACATACCACCCTTGAATTTTCGTCTGGTGTTAGCATGTCATAAAATTATATGATTTGTCTTGTTATTTTTTTAATATACAGGCTGCTCCAAATTGCTCTGAAACAGCTTTAATTCACATAGCTGATATCTTGGCAAGAATTGCTTCTGTTGAAGAAGGACTTATTTTACTTCTTTATGGAGAAAACATCCATTCTTCTGAAGAAGAAAGGTATGTGCCTGTATTTTACATTTGGAGCTAATGAGGTTTGTTGGTTAGCCACTAAGAACACTTTAAATGAATATTTAAAAAGTTAAAGTGGGTAGGGCCAGCAGATGGCATGGAGGTTAAGGTGCTGGATCCTACATGGTGAGATGTGTGGTTAAAGTCCCATACCCAGTGGCTTGAGACTCACACTGGGTGCATGTGCATGCGTGCCCAACATCCTGACGGAAAAGGGGATTGTAGCATGGCCATCTCCCATAGGAGGTGATTTCTCTCTTTCTCTCTCTCTGGTAAGTACACATGCCATATAGCAAAAACTTAAAAAAAAAAAAAGGTGAAGGGGTAATTATGATTATGGACTGTTTATGCAGGGTAGGTCTTGATGTCTGTAATTTCAAAATAAGAATAGGAGGGCTTACCCTAGATGAGATCTTTTCTCCTTTTTATTTGCTACTTTGGGCTTTCTCTTGTAGACTTTCAGCCACATAGTTGATTTAAGTCTTACACCGAGCAAGGGTGCACAAAGGAGAAAATAACTTATATTTTCTCTTCTACCTTCTCTACTGTTACGTAGTTCTATCTCCTTGTTTAACCAATGTTAACATTTAGGCTTCTGGACTTTCTCTGTGCTCACAATAACGTGATGTATCAGGCAAACATATATATATATATGTGTGTGTTTTATCTCCTCTTCACAAAAATGTTGTCATTATAGGCATTACTCTGCAATTTGATTTTTAATGTAACCCTGGGCTTTTTACTAGATGAGTATAGAATGAAACATTATTTTTAATAGCTGTTTTATACTTTTTCGTGTGACTTTACCATAATTTATTCACACATATCCCCTATTAATGGACATCAGGTGTGTCTAGGATTTTGCCTTCATAAATAACACTGCCGTAAATAAATATTCTTTCTTTTTCAGCCCATTGATGTGATAAATCACATTAATTGATTTTTCAAATGTTGAACCAATTTTAAATAGCTGGAATAAATCCTGCTTGGTTGGTGTGTATAATTCATCCTAAATATTGTTGACTTTGATTTGCTGTTTTGTTTTTTGTTAATTTGTTAAGGCACATATGCTCATGAGAGAAAGAGTGAGAGAAAGAGAGCGTCTCTTGTGGAGAACAGTTATGCCTTAGTCCCTTCTGTCTCTTCTCTACATTCTTTTGGGATTTTGGGCACATATACATGTGTTCAGCATGTTTCTCCAACAGCTGTGTCTGGGACTCCAACTGCAGTCGACTGTGTGTGATCCAGCTGCCTTAACCACCACATCACTGTCCAGTTCAACTTGTTACTATTTATTGAAGATTTTGCCTCTGTACTTATGAGAGATAATCAGTCTCTAGTTTTTGTAATGTCTTTGATCTTGGTATTGTGGGAATGCTGACCACATAATATGCTATGAATTACTCCTTTCGCTTCTGTCCTACGGAAGTAATTTTAGAGAATGACTATAACTCCTTCCTTATGTGTTTGGTAGAACTCACCAGTGAACCAATGTGAGTGTCGTGTTTTTTATTTTGGACAGTCATTAATGATTGATTTAATTTTTTTAAAAAATTATTTTCTTTTTAGTCATAACATATGAGTATGTACGTGTGCATGGACAAGAGGGAAAATGCACCCTCTCCCCCTCCAAATGGAGCCGGGTCATGCTGTGATGCTTCTGTTTCAAATTGTCTGTCTTATTACAGGAGAATCCTGGCACCTGTGCATGCATGCCCTGTGTCTTACCACCAGGGCTGGGATTTGAATCCCAGTTGACCACATGGGAATCTCCTTCCATTGCCCAACGTGTGATAGCTGTGATTCAATTTCTTTAATAGATTTAGACCTGTTTGGATTGTTTTTCTTTTTGTGTGAATTTTTGCAAATTTTGTCTTTGAGGAGTTTGGTCCATTTATCTAGTTCATGAAATTTGTGGCCATACAGCTAAACTGTTCATAATATTTTCTTATTTTTGTAATGTCCATGGGATAAGTAATAATGGCCCCTCTTTCATTTCTGATATTAGAAATTTGTATTTTTCTCTTAATTAACATTGTGGTTTTGATAGTGATTTGTCCCCCCAAAGGTTCACGTTTTAAAATTTGATGTTGGGAATTGGTGAGGCCCGTTTGGCAGTGATCAGATCATGGTGATTACATCATGGAGGCGACAGTTGTGATTAGATTAATGGTGGCTCACAGATCCAGTGATGCCTAGCTCTTGTGAGAAGGGGTTAGTACTTAGGAGAGCTGGTTGCCATGTAAGAGAGCTGCCCACCATGCACATGCTTTCTCAGCATACTCCTGCATATTTGCTTCTGTCAGCTATATTGTAGATTGGCCTGATGCCAAGCCTATACCTTTGGTCTTCCCGCCCATCGGAACTGTGAGTCAGTAAATCCCCATTCCTTTATAAATCTTCCAAACTCAGATCTGTTCGCAAACAATAATGGACTAAGACACTAAATTTGACAAGCAGCTTGTCAGTTTTACTGCTCTTAAAAGCTAGCTTTTGGGCCTAAGCACAGTGTGAGAATTGGTAGGGCTGTGTTATGTGAGACTGGGGCTGCACGAGGGGCTTGAGTTCAGTTCCTAAACCAGTGTCAACATCTGAGCATAGTAGTTTCTGCATGTAATCCTAGCTAGCTAGGAGGCGGTGCAGGAAAATTGACATGGTGCAATCCTATAAAAATTCCTTTCTCTCTCTCCCTCTTTTTCTTTCTTATTAAAAAACAAACATACGAATTCTAACTTTTTTTTTCTCTTTCCTATTTTAAATTTGATTGATTTCTAATTTTTATGTGTTTTTTTCTTCTTTTGGTTTTAATTTACTTTTTTCTAGTTGTCTATGGTAGAAACTTAGATGATTAATTTTATTTTTAATAATTTATGCTTAAATGCCATAAAATTCTTTCTAAATATTGCTTTTGCTGCATCCCACGCTTGTTGATACATTTCATCTTTTATTTCAAAATATTTTCAAATTTCTCTTGAAACTTCTTTAATCCTCTGGTTTTTTTTTTTTTTTTTTGGTCTGCATCCATACTTTGTATAATTTCTATTTTTTTTAAGCTTAAGGCATATTTTAATGGGTCATAATATGGTCCCACGGTGAATCCTCCATGTCACTTTATATATTCTGTTCTTGTTATATACAGTACAACCACTCATCACTTTACAATGTACTTGGGTAATGACTGTTCAGACTTAGGACCAGTTCTCTAACGTGGAGAATCCCTTCTCAGTCTTTGTCTTGTTCCCATGGGTGGTATTTGCTTACGATATTATGAATTTTATTTATAAATTTGTACTTTATTGCCCACTCCTTGTAATAATTAGAATAAAAATGATTACACAAGATTTATATTATTGTGTTGAGGTCTGTCTTGTTTTCTGGTACTTGTCTAATGTATGATTTTTGTACGGATAGAATTATATTATTCTACTGTGGTGTTGCATGCAATCTATTGAAAAATATTGATACATACCCTGTGGTGCCATGACACACCACAAGACATCCACCCTTAAGCTCCTCACTTATCAAGCAATCCACTTAAAGACCTACTCTTAAAATAGAACTTGGTTATTAGGAGAGGAGTGGCTTTATTCTATAGATGTCAATTATACCCTGTTGATCAATGGTGTTGTTCAGTCCCACTGTGTCCTTACTGACTTCCTACTAAATTTTGTCAATTATTGATAGAAGGGTGTTGAAATCTCCAATAATATTAGTAAATTGTTCTATTTCTTCTGACAATTCTATCAGTTTTTGTTTCATATGTATTGCTGCTTTGTTGTATACAGTTCGATCTTAATTTTTTAAAAATCTATTTTTATTGTTCATCATTGTTTGTGTGTCCAGTGTACCTATACATTTTGATATATTTTTTTTTCTTGGTAGTCATTCTATATTGCCTTTTTGCTCTTAAATGTAGGGCTTCCTTAAGGATTTCTTGTGAGGCTAGGTTAGGAAAAGCAAAAGCAAATTCCTCCAGACTTTGCTTGTCTAGACTTTATTTCTCCATTTATTCTATAGGGTGGGCATATTGAGTATTGTATTTTTAGTAGCTTTTTTTTTTTCCTTCAGAATTTGGAATATATGGAATATATCATTCCATTCTCTCTGGACCTGCATTGTTTCTGCTAAGAAATCTATAGTTAGTCTGATGGGTTTTCTATTATGTATAACTTTTCTCTTGCTGCAGTCCAAATTCTCTTTATCTTTTGACTTTTTAATTATTATATGCCTTTCTGGACCCCTATTTGGGCTGAATCTTTGAGCTTCCTCTCTTTTCATTTTTCTTGTTTTAAATGTCAGAGTATGTGCGTGCCAGAGAGAAAAGTACCTCTCAAAGGAACATGATCGTGTCACTATCCCTTTTCCCCATTTTCCCGTCCCATCAGGATTTTGAGCATGCATGCATGCACTTGTACCCAGTGAGTTTTTAAGGATGCTGGGGTTGGGATTTGAACTGTGGTCAGGTATGTAAAATCCAGCACCCTCCACTTGGTGCTTAACCTCTATTCTATTGGGATGGCTCAGAGCTGCTTCTATCTTAATGACCGTATCACTTTCAATACTTAAAAAGTTTTTAGCTATTATTTTATCAAATAAGTTTTCAGTCCTTTACCCTTGTGTCTTTTTTTCTGGAATACCTGTGATTCAAATAATTATTTATTTTACTATACCACATAAATCCTCATTGTTTTTCATGTTTGTTTTCTAGTAGTCTTTCTCCTGATTGGATGATATCTAAGGATTTATCTTGCAGGGCTGAGTTTTTTTCTGCTGGTTCTAAACTGTTGTTGAAGATGTCTGTTGTAATTTTAATTATATTTATTGAGTGCTTCATTTCTGTTTGATTCTTTTTTATAATTTCTACCTCTGCTGAATTTCTCATTTGACTTTATACAGGTTTTCTGATTTCATTAAATTGCATTCAGTATTTTATTGTGTTGTGCTGAATTTCTGTAGAAACATTTATAATTTAATTTTAGGTATCTCAA